AAAGCTTTCCTCTCCCTGGGTTTTCTAAGGACTGTTTTTCCTTTGTCTTGGAGGACTCTCTGACGCCAGGACGATGGGTTCCCATCAGCAAAAGGGCGACGGCCAAGGCATGTCTGAGCAGTCTGGTGGATGCCACGGCGGTGGTGGCGGAGGAGGTTCATGCCACGGTGGTGGTGGAGGAGGATGCTGCCACAGTAGTGGTGAAGGAGGATCTATAGTATACCAGAGCCAAGGATCATCGTGCCATGGAGGAGGCAGCAGCGGTGGTGGAGGCGGCGGCGGTGGTGGTGGTGCTGTTATTTACCAGACCCACATGTCATCATCCTCCTTTGGAGGAGGAGGAGGAGGAGGAGGAGGAGGAGGCCACCAGTGCATCAGTGGCGGCGGCGGCGGAGGTGGTGGTGGGTCAGGCCACCAGGGACAAGGACCCATCTGCATAATTGGAGGAGGAGGAGGTGGTGGTGGTGGAGGAGGAGGAGGTGGCTCAGGCCACCAGGGCCAAGGCCCCATCTGCATTGGAGGTGGTAGCATGGGAGGGGGAAGTGGGGGAGGTCATCAAAGCCAAGGCTCCGTTTGCATTATTGGTGGAGGCGGAGGTGGTGGTGGAGGAGGAGGTGGTGGCTCAGGTCATCAAAGCCAAGGCTCCGTTTGCATTATTGGTGGAGGCGGAGGTGGTGGTGGAGGAGGAGGAGGTGGTGGCTCAGGTCATCAAAGCCAAGGCTCCGTTTGCATTATTGGTGGAGGCGGAGGTGGTGGTGGAGGAGGAGGAGGTGGTGGCTCAGGTCATCAAAGCCAAGGCTCCGTTTGCATTATTGGTGGAGGCGGAGGTGGTGGTGGAGGAGGAGGTGGTGGCTCAGGTCATCAAAGCCAAGGTCCCATCTGCATTGGTGGAGGAAGCGGTGGTGGTGGAGGTGGTTCAGGCCATCAGGGCCAAGGACCCATCTGCATTATTGGAGGAGGAGGAGGTGGTGGAGGAGGAGGAGGTGGTAGTTCCGGCCACCAGAGCAAAATTCCCATCTGCATTGGAGGTGGCAGCATAGGAGGGGGAAGTGGGGGAGGTGGTGGTTCAGGTCATCAAAGCCAAGGCTCTGTCTGCATTATTGGTGGAGGTGGTGGTGGTGGTGGAGGAGGAGGTGGTGGCTCAGGTCATCAAAGCCAAGGTCCCATCTGCATTGGTGGAGGAAGCGGTGGTGGTGGAGGTGGTTCAGGCCATCAGGGCCAAGGCTCCGTCTGCATTATTGGTGGAGGTGGTGGTGGTGGTGGAGGAGGAGGTGGTGGCTCAGGTCATCAAAGCCAAGGTCCCATCTGCATTGGTGGAGGAAGCGGTGGTGGTGGAGGTGGTTCAGGCCATCAGGGCCAAGGCTCCGTCTGCATTATTGGTGGAGGTGGTGGTGGAGGGGGAGGTGGTGGTTCAGGCCATCAGGGACAAGGACCCATCTGCATTGGTGGTGGCAGCATGGGAGGAGGAGGAGGAGGTGGTGGTTCCAGCCATCAAGGCCAAGGACCCATCTGCATCGGTGGAGGTGGTGGTGGAGGAGGAGGTGGTGGTTCAAGCCACCAGGGTCAAGGTCCAATCTGCATTGGTGGAGGTGGTGGAGGAGGTGGTGGTTCAGGCCACCAGGGCCAAGGATCCATCTGCATCATTGGGGGAGGTGGCGGTGGAGGAGGAGGAGGTGGTTCATCCAGTTCTGCGATGCCCATTCAACAGCAGACCCAGGGTGTCTCCTGGCCACCGCAGATCAAACACAAGTAGTGCCTGCAGAAGGGACTCTCAGATCAAGAAAGCCCAAGATACAAACATGCCTCACATTTCTTTCTCTATTAAATTTTAAAATATTTGCATTATTCCTTTCTCCTTTTCCTGAGGATTTTTCTGTTCAGCTTCTCCAGCTGACCAGAACCTCTGGTGTTATGTATCCATAACTTCCAGCCAGGGTTGTTTCACATGCCTGTTATCTGCCTCAATTTTCTAGTGCTTGCACAAGACAATAAAACTTGCAGTTCTAGAGAGCTTCCGTGTCTGAGTGGTTGGATTTCGCTTTAAAACACAACATTTGCATTATTTCCACTATTGTGATTTTATTTTGAGCTGCTGCTGTTTTAATAAAGCTCCACAACATGAATGCATTTAGAACCCCCCTGGAAAAGAGGTGCTGGATGCACTGAATATTCTTGGGTCATCTTTTAATGTCTGTTGTTACTCATGATCCCAACTTTTGCCCGTTGGATAAAGTACCCCAAAGTTAAACATCGCATTTTCTCTACCTCATCAAAATGTCGTGCAATGCCCAAGGAAGTTTTAAATGGGATGGGAGAAAAAAAAAAAGCAAAAATCCTGATGTAAAGAGTTACAAGACACTCTTACAAGCATGAAGCTGAGGCCCTTACACATGCACAGTACAGCTCACAGCTGCACCAGACACCTGTGGATAAGAAATGAGGGGTCTCTCCAACCCTTCCTCCAGCTCTGAACCCCTTGTGGAGCCAGTGGTAGGGCCAGGACTTCAGAAAGCCCTTTCCAAGCCAAGCCTGGAATAGCTGGGGATCTCCTCATTCCCACAGGAGTAATAAAACACAGCTCCAGGTATGAGTCTTCACAGGGAGTTTCCCTACGGGAGGTGATTTCTTTGATGTGGTATATTGTGGCAATTAGCAGGGAAAGGAAAATAAACCATCTCCGCCTGAACTATTCTATGTGAGGCAGATGACAGATGCCTGGAAGTGTCCCAGAAGAGACAGGAGTGACCCACACACGTAGTAAGTAAAAGAGCTTCATGTTTACATGGGCTCCTACCCTCCCCTTGGAGGCCCCAGGGATGCACGCATCCTCAAAACACACCCAGACATGCTCCTCCAGCCAGTGCTGCCACTGGAACAGCTGAACTGCCTGGAATTTTATTATGGAAAGTCGTAGGGTGCTAAAACACCGGGGACTGGGAACTGCACAAACACTGCAATTGCCTGCACGGGGCTAACAGAAAGCTCAGGGTCCCACTTCAGGGAGGTGGGAGCATCACTGTTGAATGTCCCTGCACCCAGAAATGGCCCAGAATCAAGAAAGTGGGGACCCAGGTTTCAGAGGCTCCTGGAGCGACAGCAGGAGCACAGAGGTATCCTCAGCTCTCGCTGCTTTTTCAGAAACACCAGAGCCATCTCCCAAAATTGGATGAATTCATCCTTTTGGTTAATATCCATCAAGCTGCTGATACACAGGGTGGATGCTGGATCTGGTACCCTCTACCTGCAGCACTTCCAACGCCTTTCTAAAACCGGCATCGTCGCTCCTCCTAGAGGCAGTGCAAAGCCTGTCTGACACCTGTGCTGTCCGTAGCTGTGCACTCCAACAAAAATCACGATGTAGTGGGGAAGTCCAGGCACGTGAGATTCCTTTCCTGCCCCAGCACCAGCAGTTCTGCCCAGTGCAGCCCCCTCCATTCCCCAGGACGTCTCCATTCCCTGTGACACACTGTAAACACGAGTCTCCACAGCCCCTTCCGCTGTCGGTCACCACCCCGGCAGCGTCACCCAGCTGGAGCGGATGGTGCCAAGTGGAGGTCCCACAATCCTACCTTGAAAGTCAACCGTGGGAGCTGAGCTCACACGCGATCCCCGCAGCCAAACTGCAGGTAGCCTAGGAAGTGATGCAGGGAGGAGGCATTGATCGGATTGGATGAATCAGGACAAGTGGGCTGAAGGAGGACAGTTTGTTTAGTAAATAAAGCCATCACCATTCCTTTGGATGCCATCACTTCCCACTCGGCAAAACTTGAAATGGTATAAAAGTTGCTGGATCTCACAGAGCTTCATTCGCTCAGCTTTGCTCTCAGGCACACGTGGTCGGAGCCGAGAAGGGTAAGTCCATTTCTGCCAAAGGGAGCGATTCTTCTCGGGCTTTCGGGCTTGTAAGACACGAAAGCAGTGGTAAAGTAGACCTGGTGGGTGGTGGCTTGAAGGGCAAGAAGGTTGCTTGAATGAATTTAAATCTCCTGTGGATGTCAGAAGAAACAGGATCATCCCATGCTACTGAAAATCCTGTGTTTTGACAGTTTAGAGACAGGGATGGGAAAGCCATGGGATAAAAGACTTTAAATGATGGGTTGATTACCTTTAGCAATATGATAATCTCCTCCTAGCAAAAGGCTCTAAGTGTGGCTGGGCTCCATGGAGCACCAAGTACTCAGAAGAAAGGAAGTTCACTGGTTCTGGAGACCATCTGTCAATGTCGTCGGGCTGTACACGGGTCCTTCTGGCTGGGGGAAACTCTCGTGATGAAGGTTTCGGCTCTTGAGTAACAACCACCATGTTTCTTGCAGGGTCACTGCTCAAAGATGTGCTCCAGACAGTCCTCCCAGTCCAGTGGATGCCACAGCGGGGGCTGCTGCTGCTGTCACGGGGGCAGCTCCTCCAGCCACCAGTCTCAGGGCTCCTCCTGCTGCGGGAGCTCAGGCTCAGGCAGCTATGGTGGGGGCAGCGGGGGCAGCTCTGGCAAGATCATCATCAGCTCTGGTGGTGGAGGAGGTGGATCCTGCTGCGGTGGGGGCTCCTCAGGCTACAGCATGGGAGGAGGCTACAGCGGTGGCAGTGGGGGATCTGGCCAGAAGATCATTATTAGCTCTGGTGGTGGAGGAGGTGGCTCATCTGGATGCTGTGGTGGGGGATCCAGTGGTGGGTCTTCAGGAGGGAAGATCATAATTGGAGGTGGAAGCAGTGGAGGATCATCTGGATGCTGTGGTGGAGGATCCAGCTATGGCATGGGAGGAGGATCCAGTGGTGGGTCAAAGAGCATGATGGGGGGTGGAGGTAGTGGAGGATCATCTGGATGCTGCGGTGGGGGAT